CTCTCTCTCTCTCTCTCTCTCTCTCTCTCGTTTTTACCCCCTCTTCTTCCCTCCCTGCCTCAACCAACCCCTTTTATTCCCCTGAAGCCAACCGTACCCCCAAATATTCTATGTGATTTTCTCGAGTTGTAAGCGCTGTAAAACTTGAACAAACATCAATGCTCGTGGGTGCTGAGTTGACCCTGGAGGTGAGCTCTGGGAGCCACTTCCGTCTTGCCGGGCTCCTGAGAGGAACTGATCGCGGGAGAGCATTCTGTCGTCTGCTGTGACCAGGGACGGGCCTGGCCGATGCTAAAGAGAGTTGTCTTCTCTTTTCCCAAATCCCCACGCACGAAACAATTAGTGGCCATTTTGCCGTATCCAGTTCTTTCCATCGATTCCCGTGAGCAAGGGACTGGGAGATCAACGTTGTTTTCCATCTACAGTTGTGACAACTGGCGTATTGGTAGCTTGTGCTCTAAATTACGACACCCTGTGCCTGATCAAGCTGTGAGTGCTTCAGTAAACTGTGTCTTAGGCCGCTCACTGCCGAGTTATATTACGTGCTGAAACCTAACTCAAGTCTCTTTCATGAAGAATATACTTTTATCCCCCCCCCCCCAAATGTATTTTACTAAATACTACTGTTATTGACTGTTCTTCCTTATCCCCGATCATCATTTTCATCAGCCTTTCTCATCGTGTATCGGAGAGCAGTCCAATAAAAAGAACCCTTCGTGTACTTCTGTCTGAAGCTATTGTCTCCACCTTTTGTCTTGCTGTATCCCATCCCCTTTAGCAGGCCCGAATCTGAGAACCGCCCCCCCCCCCTTCCAAGTATTTTCAATTCCTCCTTTCTTTCTTTTTCCTTGCTCATCCCCGATACTTGACCACTCTTTCGTCCATGCTCCTCATTTCGGGCTCAATTTCTTGCGATTCTGTAGGGTATCATTTTTTAAAAGAAAATATAAGGATGGCATCATGGTTTGTGAAGACACTTTGACTTGTAGAAAAGACCAAAACCTTTGCCAGTACCTTTGAAATTTAGAAATATAGTAAGCCTCAATTCCAGACCGCTATCTTTGTATTTCCTAATACTAACCAATCTTAGTAACACAAAAGCAATTTCAATTATTCGTAAAGTAGTCGTAGAATTTGTCTCCCATAAATTACAACAACAACAACAAAAACAATCTCCAACAAATCACAGAGATGTCCTAATCGTCAGTACAGTCATATTTTGCGAGGAAAAGAAAGCTTTTCCTGATTATGACCTCTTTGGATTTCATTTTTCTTCTAAAGTTATGTTCCCTAGATAGAAATCAAACCATCATTATATTACTTCGATCGTCAAGTGGAGAAATATATTGATCTTGAACACCTACTTTTCTCTACTGGGTCTCCTTCCCTGGTTGACCTTGCCAGCCAAGGTCAAAATGGTTACCTCCAATTATGATTTCGATTATATCAACAAACACAGCGTGAGACATGTACAGACCAATGACCAACCCCTTCTCTTTGAGTGTGTGGCGTCAGTAGTCTAGTGGGTTGTCTACGGGACTCGTAATCGTGAGGTTGCGAGTTTCGAGGTTCGAGCCTCAGGCCTGACGTTGCGTCCCCAGAAAGACACTTTTACCACGAATTTTCCTCACTTCACTCAGGTGGGAATGGGTACCCGGTTATAGACAGCGAAAAATCTTGTCAGTATGTTTGTGTTTTAGCGCAAAAAGAAAAAAGGCATCTTGCACTGTAAGTTTCCCAGGAAGTTGAGATTGGTTCAGAATGCTATCCGGTCTGCCGGGGGTAAAGCGCGTAGAGCTTGCCTTTGAGTGGAAGATCTATCTATCTATCTATCTATCTATCTATATATCTATCTATCTATCTATCTATCTATCTATTATCATTTTTTTAAAATTATTATTATTATTATTATTATTATTATTATTATTATTATTATTATTATTATTATTATTATTATTATTATTATTATTATTATTATTACATGTAGATCTATTATGCGGATTGGATTTGTGTAAATGTTGATGACTGAATATGATAGTACGGCCCCCCTTTTTTCCCCACAACCACAGAATGTTCACAATAATATATTGAAATGCAGTTTGTAGATCTTGTATTTGAAATCATGATCGCTCGGACCTGGTAAGTCCTCTACCCCTGGACCACCAAACCACGAGTGCGTTAATAAACTCAAGCTTTATAGGTAGTTGGCGAGTTCTCTGGTGTGGTTTGCTCCAAAAAATGCATTCCTTTCAAACGCCTTTCGTCCTTATCTCTTCTCCGTTTTGTGAGTGTGTTTACTATTCTCTTGTAACACCTATAATCTTCGGCACTTGTATGACCTAATTGTGTTGCAAGAGTCGTACAATTTTAACTAAACCAAAAAAGAAAAAATTAATTAATTTAAAAAACAAAACAATCAAAAACCCTAAACTCAACCTTCGTCGGTACACTAATTTTTTTTTCAATGCAATATGTTGCAATGTAACGCAAATCTTACCTTAAAGTTTGTTTGTTTCGTTGTTTTTGTTGTGCTGTTTGTTTGGTGGAATTTTTTTAGTACATTGTATTACATGTCGCTTTTGTTGAGGTTTCATTGTTTGTTAGAACCCCCCCCCCCCCCCCCCCCTTTTTTTTTTCTTTCATCACCCTAAATTAAAACCAGTCTAAACAAGTCAACTTCAATCAATATTCTCGCTCTCTCGATTGCACGTATCGCTCTCGCACGTCCGTCTCTCTCTATCCCTCTCCCCCCCCCCCGCCTTTCTTTTTACTGTCTTTTTTCCCCTTCCCTAACCATCTTCTTTTTAAGTCTCTTTTGTGTGTATAGGGGTGGGTTTAAAGGGGCCTGGGGAGTTGTCAGGGAGGGGGGAGTCAGATTTTGTATCTTGAGAACGTGGTCAAGATTGTTATTGTGCTTTATCATTTGTTAGTTGGTTTTTGTTTTTGTTTGTTGTTGGTTTTTTCTTTTGTTGATTTTTTTTTTTTTGGGGGTTTTTGTTTTTGTCGTTTCTTTTGGTGGGGTTTTTTTTTTTGTGGGGTTTTTTTGGGTTTTTTTTTTTGGGGGGGGGGGGGGTTAATAGGGGAAGGAGGGGAACAAAACAAAAAAAAAATGTGCAAACCTCCCCCCCCCCCCCCCCCCTTTAAAAAAATCCATATTATGAACTAAATCACAGAATTGCCTGGATTTCAAAGAAGAAGAAGAATCTATGTCCAGCCGTGTCTGATGTAGAGCATCACAAAAGATTCCACAAGAACGCGTCGCCCCTGAAGTAACGAGAGCAGGGCACGCAGGCATGTGTGCACTGACAGGCCAGGGAAAGGCGGCGGGTAATGGCGGCTCGTAGACAACAGCTTGCCATAACGATGTTAGGAGAAAAAAATTCTAAGGTTCGAGTCGGCTCTCCAAAGCTCAAGGAACGTGCCAGCGCTGTATGAGGGGGGAGGACGAGGGACGGGAGAGATACCGGGGCCCTGGTCCCTCCAAACTACCCGTACCCGACACACGGCCCTCGCCCTCTGTGTCCGGGGAACCTCGAACAGCGGTGACCACGCCCACCTTGTTAGCAGCCGACAGTCGGCCAAACGAGGGGCGGCCAATGAAATCATCTCCCCGGCTGTTGATCCTCCGCCACGTGATCAATATTTCCCACAAACGTGTTCGGCCTCCTGATTGGCTCCCGGTGTCAATGAACGGTTTCTTTACAGGGGATAATATAAACGGGGAAGAGGGGAAAATTTCATTACTTGTTTTAATTTTGAGCAGTCAAACCATTTCAGCTTAACGTCCTGTTCTTCAGAGCTTCCTTTGAAATCAGTGAAATTTCTTTACCTACTAAGAAAGAACTTAGCGGAGTTCTTTTGTCCAGCTTTGAGTCCAAATTGAAGACGACAAATCTCGGAAGAAAAACTGTGGATCAAAGCAGATCATCATAGTCGCTTGTCGTGGGCACAGTGTTTGGGAATCTGACACGGGAATACGATTGACGTACATGCATTGCCCACGCCTGGAAACCTGGACTACGATAGAATACTTACACTTACTGCACCACGGTACGATTTAAAAAAACAAAACAACTACAGAAACAACAAAAACCAACAAATTCCGAGAAATCACTGCTGTGATTTGAAGAAGTGCTTCAGATTTTCGTAACAGAGTTCTTGCATAGGACAAGTGTGTTTCCCAGTAGCTTTTGACTATGTGTGTGACATGATCGACTAGAAAAAAAAGCCCTCTTGAGTATGCTGTGACATCATTCTTATCGTATTTGTTTTTGAGTTTGTATACTATCAAGATTGTTTCAATATTTTCAGCATTTAAGAATAGATATTTCAGAAGTGTTTATAACAAATAAAAACGAAAAGAAAGAATAAAATTAACAAGGAAGATCACTGATTGATTTTTGCCTAATCTTGCAACACCTGAAGAGATTAAGAGAAAGGAAATAAAACTAATCAAGGACAGCGGTAGACACCAAAGCTTTCTTCCCCTCTACCGAGTGAAAACAGAAATTTAGACGTCAGTGATTGTTCGCGTGATTTCCTCGACAGTCTTATTATCTACCCGTAGCCATTTTGTGTCTTCGACCCACCAAAAGGCGTGGAAGTGTTCGCCTCGTGCCTCAACCCACATCCCACTACCCACTGTCCACCACCCACCGCCACCATTCTCTTCCCAAGCATGTTATCGGAGGAGCAGCGGGTGCCCAGTGATGACAGAGAGAAAAGAAAATGTGAGGACTTCACGAGTCTCTACTCCATGGACACAGGACACAGCCACACGGCCAACGCACAGAGGGCGCTCCCTGATCACTCAGGTAAGCTCACTTTGCCTAGATTTTGTTAGGGTTGGGGGGGGGGGGTTGTTACGGTTATTTGGTTTTGGGTTTGGGTTTTTTAATAGTTTTTTCTCTACGATCAAGGCTTTACTACTCCGTCGTTTAAAGATCACCTGTCTTTCGTCTTCCGACATGACACCTGACACGACGAAAAAAATGCCCCCCCCCTTGATGACTGAATATGATAGTACGGCCCCCCTTTTTTCCCCACAACCACAGAATGTTCACAATAATATATTGAAATGCAGTTTGTAGATCTTGTATTTGAAATCATGATCGCTCGGACCTGGTAAGTCCTCTACCCCTGGACCACCAAACCACGAGTGCGTTAATAAACTCAAGCTTTATAGGTAGTTGGCGAGTTCTCTGGTGTGGTTTGCTCCAAAAAATGCATTCCTTTCAAACGCCTTTCGTCCTTATCTCTTCTCCGTTTTGTGAGTGTGTTTACTATTCTCTTGTAACACCTATAATCTTCGGCACTTGTATGACCTAATTGTGTTGCAAGAGTCGTACAATTTTAACTAAACAAAAAAAGAAAAAATTAATTAATTTAAAAAACAAAACAATCAAAAACCCTAAACTCAACCTTCGTCGGTACACTAATTTTTTTTTCAATGCAATATGTTGCAATGTAACGCAAATCTTACCTTAAAGTTTGTTTGTTTCGCGTTGTTTTTGTTGTGCTGTTTGTTTGGTGGAATTTTTTTAGTA